CGCTCGGAGCGGGGAGACGAGGAAACGAGGAGACGCGGGACTTGCTCAAAGTCACAGTCTTTAATGAAACAAACAAACAAACGGAATACCACTATGGAACTCAGGAGGACATTCAACGCCGAACATAGGACACTGGAAACACTGGGTTTATATAACGAGGAACTAAACGATAGCCAGCTGAATCAAACAAAACGAGAACAGGAAACAGGAACACCAAATAAGGACATGTCACGCAACCGGTGTTTATCATAGCAAAGGTAACGAATCCGATGAATTCCGTGAACGGAGGACAAGAGCGCCGGAGTTTATGCTGTTAGAAGAAATCTCTAGCATTAATTCTGATCATGGCTTGTCTTGAAAAAACGAAGACAGTTTGGCGTTCGTCGTAGGAGAAGTCACACTGCAGGACTGTGCGCCAAATCTTCTGACACTGCCAGAAGTTCGTCGGAGGTAAAATTTGATCGCAACGGCCATTAATCGGCTGTCGGTGAACATGTCAAACTAACAATCAAAGACTACAGATTTTAGTTTAGGATTATAGGCATCTTTTAGGATTTTCAAAATTTGTCTCAGACGACCAAATCGTGGTTTATGCGTGATAAATACACTGAACAAAATTATAAACGCAACACTTTTTGTTTTTGCCCCAATTTTTCATGAGCTGAACTCAAAGATCTAAGACTTTTTCTATGTACACAAAAGGCCTGAAATAGGCCTTTTGTGTACATAGAAAAAGTCTTAGATCTTTGAGTTCAGCTCATGAAAAATGGGGGCAAAAACAAAAGTGTTGCGTTTATAATTTTGTTCAGTGTACTAAGGCAATTATTATACGGTATTTTATGCGTGTAACATTACTTCGAGCCTGTCAATCAACATTAGCGTGCCACCCACAGGATAACGCAAGGACATCGCTGCCAAAATTTTGTCCCCATGTGTTCAGAGATTAGTATATAAAGCTTACAAAATGTTTTTCATATATTAGCGCTACGACCCAGAATCTGCCCCACCTAAATTTACGGTCAGGAGCCGCTACTGGTATCAATTATATGGACTCCTTAAATCATTTGGTTTTGTTGTCTTTTTGGTGTCTCCAAGTGTCCTTTATATTGAAATAAGCTTGCAAAAAATACAGTTTTGTGATAATCACCCTTCAATTTTTTGGTTTACTTTGCTGGATATAGCAAATGATGGCAAAATGAATGTGTTAAACAAGATAAATGGAGTATGCTTAAGTGTGATAAGTGTGCAATTAATCATGATTAATCACACAAAAAGGGTAATCTGATTTTAAAAATGTAATCTATTGACAGCCCTAACATATATTATATCAAATTACAAAATTATTATAGTCATTTCTCTTTTGCACATTGTAAATTTTGTTCTTTGAAATTGTAAAAATAAATAAATAAATTTAAAAAAAAATTTATTTTAGGGACACAATCCTATTCCAAGCATTTCTTAGTTAGTTTGAGAAACTACAAGAGGTTAAAAATGCAGCGCTACAGCCACGGGCAATGCTGTAATGGTGGTCGCTCCATCACTAGAAGGTTGTAGTGGTCCGGTGCTCCGGCCTGTCTGTCGCAGCGATCACTTCATAGCATCTGTCAGTCAATTCTGTCCGCCGGCGGGCTTTTCTCTTACATCCACAAATTATTAATGCCCCTCTCACAGCAAGGCCATTGCAAGGCAGGTCAGCACTGATGAATTATTAACACTGTTTATAAACATAATTTTTTTTACACCTGTGGTATATATGAGGAACCGCTGCCAGCGGTATCAGTCAAAGTAAAGCTCACCCAAGGTTGTCAGAAGATTGGACTGCACTGCTGCATGAGCTGCTCGGGGAGGCTTGGAAAAATCAAGAAATTGATGCTTTGGTCTCATAGAAAATCACATGGAATTGTGGTTGATTGCACTGAGTTGCTTTAATTATAGATTACAGGACTGGCAGACGAAGAAAAATCTACCAAATGATCACAACTGAATGAACCTTTAACAAGATGATGTTAGTATGTCAGTGCAGATGTAAGTACATATTTGAGTGATTAATTTAAGACTGAATGGGAAGATCAGCTTCCCTTAAAATGACATTTATTAAAAAAATGTAATGATGCTTATCTGTGTGCACATAATATTATATATATATATAGTGACGTGTACGTTTATATATACATAATTCTTTAACAGTGTATACACTTACAATATATAATTAGGCTACTTATATATACTTACACATATATAGTTACAATTACACAGCAAAGCTGTTTCAACATTGACAATAAGAAATGTTTGAGCAGCAAAACTTTCTGAAGGATTATGTGATATATTTAAATACAAAACAGTTGTTTTAAATTGTAATATCTCACAATTGTACAATTTTTATACTGTAATTTTCATTAAATAAATGCCGTCTTGCTGAGCATAAGCAACTTTCCAAAACATAAAACGTTCCAAAGCAAATATAAATTAATAATATATATATATATATATATATATTACTGACATGACATGATGGCATCAGAAAAGAGCCAGGCTGGTTGGCACAGACTGCAACCTTATCCAGCAAGATGAAGTGATGGCTGTGACATTAACACAAACCTGCAGGCTGAGTTAAATGGAGTAAATGCCCCGGCAATGATCGAGTTAGTATGATCAGATCAACTGTGACTGTCATTCAGTACAGTGAACCTAAATCAGAACAACAATTACTGGTTGCCACAGTTCTAGTGTGTTCTGGCTGCTTGCTTACTTTTAATATTCTAGCTCATGATTTGAAGTTCATATCCGGAGAACAATGTGAAAGAGTTACACCCCAACGTTTAATACTTTAGGGTAATAGTTTTG